GAAAATGAATTTTTCTGTATGAAACTGTGTATTTTAATAATGAAATGGAGATCTTTTTTAAAGTTTAAACCCTCATTTAATTTTATGTCTTATAGGGTTTATACTGAGTACAATATTGTATAACTGTATTAATTCAACTGTAAACCCAAAAATTTACAGCCAATTGTGAGAGAGATGCATCTTATCTCTGGAAATTGTTATTGAATATGTCAATGCTGTTGTAATGAAATTCTTCTTATTATGTGATTTATTAAATAAATATTTTTTTTAAAAAGTGCTTACTGCCAAACCCAGCACCCTGAGTTCAGTCCCCAGTACCCACATGGTGGAAGGAGAGGGCTCCCATAGGTTGTCCTCTAACCTCCAAACATGTGACATAACATGCACATACCCTCATACAAATGAATAAATAAATGTAATAAAGAATTTTTTTAAAGAATATTCAAACTTAATTAACAATCTGCAATTGCTATCAATTAATTTAGACATTGAAGAGACTTAATTAGATACATATGTTCGCCATAGTCATCAATGGCTTCACAAGTTGATTTGGAATTCTGTGGTTGAAATGTAGTTGTTATAATTCCAAAATGTGTCATGCATGTATATAATTTTGGAGCTTTTCATGTGATCTTAATAAATGGAACTGAGGGCTGGAGAGATGGCTCAGTGGTTCAGATCACTGGCTGCTCTTACAGAGGACCCAGGTTCAATTCCCAGCACCCACATGGCAGCTACCATCTGAAACTCCAGTTCCAGGGACTCTGACGCCCTCTTCTGATCTCCACAGGCATTGCACAACATGGTTGTACTTACATAATGCAGGCAGTACACACATACACATAAAATAAAATTAATAAAAAATATTAAAGGAATTGCAATACACATTGTGACAAATGAAACAATAAAATCCATACTTCCTGTGAGGAATAGAATTTTTTAAAGTTGATGTAAATTATACACAACTAAAGTTTTTCCCCTGCTTTTCTTTTCTCTTTTTTTGTTTTATGTCTTTTTGTTTAAATATTTTATTTTTTTTAATTTTATGTGTATGTATTGCCTGCGTGTATGTGAGTGCACCCAGGTCGTGCAATGCTGTGGAGGTCAGAAGAGGGCTTCGGATTCCCCTGGAACTGGAGTTAAGGACGGTTCATAGTCGCCATGTGGGTGCTGGGAATCGAACCTGGGTCTTCTGCAAGAGCAGTCAGTGCTCTTAACTGCTGAGCTGTCTCTCCAGCCCTGTTTTATGTCTTTTTGAGACAGGATCTGGAGCTCCAGATTTCCAGCTTCTGCTAGGAGCACTGGGTTTACAGTCATGGGCCACCACACCCACATGGGCCACACCCACATGCACCACCACATGGGCCCACCACACCCACATGGGCCACCACACCCAGATTCCGCTTAGCTTTTTTCAGTGTCCTTGTAGGAAAGAATAAAGACCAAAGTGTGGCCTCTCTCTAGGTTTGACGGCATCTCACATTTTGCATGCACGTGGAGGGCAGAGGCCCACCTGTGGTGTTGGTCCTTCCACCTTGTGGCCGCCTTCCACCTTGTTTGACACAGGGTCTCTACTGCTGTTTGTGCCAAGCTAGCTGGCCCACAGCTTCTGCCGATTCTCCATGTTGAGTTTCCCATTATGGGTGCATTGGAGTTACAGGTGCTGGGTTTGGCTTTTCCATGGGTTCTGGGGTTCATGGGTTTCTGAGCTCAGGTCTCATTAGGCATGTGTGGAAAGTACTTTACCCACTTAGCTAATCTCCCCAACCTGAAATCTCACATTTTCATTTGCTAGGTTGTTCCATCTTTGGGATCACAGAATTTGCCTTTCTGTTCTAAAATAACTTTGCTATAAAAGCTTAAATTCTCAAACATCACAGAAAGTACAGCTACAACTTTTAAAGCTTCCTTTAAAAGACCCAAGACTTTACGTCTGGAATTCTCCAGATCGCTGACCAATGCGGTTGATGCTTTTTGCTCTCTCACTGCTCTTTACCTTTCTACTTGTATTAAACTCAAAACATATTCAAACTTATCATTTTCCTCCTAGAAGCATTTAGAGTTAGAGGATGCAGTTCTCTGTGGCAGTGACAACTCAGAAAAGAGGTTTATTTTGAGTTCCAAGTTTTAGAAATCTAAGATTGACTAGTTCGATCTGGAGATGATCTTCTTGCAGGAGAGACGGAGTGTACATATGTATCCTCTGGTCTCTTCAGATCATTCTCTTTTTATAAAGCCATGAGTGTTCAATCATAGGGACCCTCCTGGTGGCCTGCTGTAATCCTAGTCACCTCCCAAAGGCCCCCTGTAAACATTGTGGTTGGATTGAATTTCCACCACCTTACCTCACAGTGGAGATTTTATTTCACTGTGAGTTTCAGAGGGGACAAACCATAGTCAAATGTAGTCTCTAATAAGGACTATGGTAACTTACTAAATGTTAAATGTTTGTTTTAAAGGACATGGGTTTTCTGTTTTGATTGGATAAACCAATTTGTAAGAGATAACACATACTTTTAAAACTGGCATGTAAAAAAAAAAAGGCATGTTTCAGAATCTTTACTAAGAACACCAAAATTGCTTTAGGTGTTCACTGAGAAAATGTAATGTAAGGAATTGATAATAATAAGCGGTGGTGTGGCTGAGAGCCATGCAAAGTAGAGAGGTACCTGGGGCAGGAAGCTACTGCCAGCCATAGCTAGAAGAGAAAGAGGGCTGTGACTGCTCAAGAGACACCAGAACCTTAGTGATTTCAAGAGCAGCTAGCATGGCTGCCAGAAAAGCAGAGCCAACCAGTAATCCTTGACTCTGGAGGCAGAGACTTGGAGGTTGTGAGCTCAAGGCCAGCAGAGGCTACAGAGCAAGACCCTGTCTCTTCAACAACAGAATTAAAAACAAAAAAACAAAGACAACAGTAATCTCTCACAGCCAAGAAAGAATGTTTTAGGGAAGACAGACCCTTGCTTCCTTCTCCCCTAGGCCTGGCCAGCTGAGCTCGCAGAGTCAGTCTGCTATGATTCAGGCAACGTGGGCTGAAGGCACACAGGTGCAAGGTCAGACAGCAGTGCTGGGGAGCCGACTTCTCTAGCCAGTGCCACTAAGGTTCTCTTTGTGTCCCTAGGCAAAGCAAACCTTGGACAACGTGCTGGCACTAAGTTCTATGGATATAAGGGCCATCTGGCTTTGCCTAGAGTTCCTTTCTCCTCAGACCTCGCACACTGGTTCCAAACAGAGGAACAAGGTCTTTCTGGCAGTGCAGAATTCTTCTTTGGCTAGAAGTGCCTGATTCATGAAGTTCTTGTTGGAACATATTTCTAAAATATCTCAGTAAACTGGCAGCTTCCCTTGATGACACCCATCATCCGTAGCAGAATGGCCTGTGTTTTTCTCCAAGTCCTATTGGAAAGGCCTTTATGCCTTGTTGGTTTAGCTCTGTAGAGTGTTGTCTATGAGCACCATTGTATTCAGACAAACACTCGAAGCTGATTATAAAAGGGGTTTTTGTAAGGGATTTGAGATATATTTCCCCCTTTTAGTACATATCATTACATATCATTAATGCTTTAAGTATCTTATAGGATTTTTGTTTAGTATTAAATTGGCTTTGATATTAGATATGTAGGATGTACTAAGACAAAATCTGCCTTCCTCGAGGATATAACAGATGACCACAAACCGTAGGCCATGAACCCCAGCAGATAACAAATGGTCAGCTACAGACCTGAAAGCGTAGTCAGTCTGCAGCTGGCCTGACTCTGTCTCTTGGACATGAGAGATGAGTGCTCTGGGCCTGTCAGCACACTGGGCATTCTCTGATTTTGACATCTGTGTAGTCAGTCTGCAGCTGGCCTGACTCTGTCTCTTGGACATGAGTGAGTGCTCTGGGCCTGTCAGCACACTGGGCATTCTCTGATTTTGACATCTGAGGAATGCTGTTCTCTCTTCTGAAATTGATCTGGAGTCATATCCCCTGATCAGCTGGTGCTGCTTCAGAGCCCCAGAAGCTGAGAAAGAGTAACTTGTAATGTTTGCAGCTTAGTTACAGATCCCATTCCTGACCTCGTGTGACTGATCACAATCAGTACCTAAGCACACTAAATCTACTGTATTGAAATGACCTTCAGGCTCTGTATATGATGGGTGTGAACACAGGTTCTTGTTGGGTCCCTTTCCCAGGTCTCCTTATAAGTATGCAGATATTCCAAAATCCACAATTTAAAACCTCTGGTACCAAGCTTTTTTTGTCACAGAGCCAAGACTGGCTCTGAATACAGCCAAGGATGACCTCGAATTTATAGACCTCCTTCCCCCAGCTCCCAGATGCCAGGATTACAGGCCTGCCACCACACCCAGCTAGTCGCTAAGATTTTAAGTCAGAGACTCACTCTGCCTGCACTGGACTTTTCCCTAAAAGAAGAGTTACTGTTGTGTGCTGTCCTTAGTAGCTGTGTAGCATTTTGTCTTGAACCAGTTCCCTACTGCTAGCATGTTTCCAGACATTGCTGTAAGCACCTGTGCACAGAAGCAAACTGGGTGTTTCTCTAAAGAGGGCCTGTCAGCCACTTGAAAATGCTCAAGAAAATCCTGGTTCACAAGCTCCATTCAGACCAATTTTTGACTTGGGTGCTTCTAAATACCCTCTTCGATGATATTTGTAGTATGATTTAATGATTTAAGTATGTGTACATTTTAATACCTGTTGTTACACTGTTTATCAGGATTAGGGTCAGCAGGAATAGAAATCTAAAAGAATGTTGGCTTCAACAGAACGGTTTATGTTTATGTAAATATCTAGACCCAAGACTCACGTGGCGTTTTTGCTCCTTGAAGTCAGCATGTTCATCCCCTGTCTTTTGTCTTTACTGAAACAAGGGCAAGCTCTTATCTTCCCGTTCCAAGGCAGAAGTTGGGGCTCTTGCCATCATGTTGGTCAGTGTTTCAGGCTATAACCTGTAGGAAAGGTCAAAAAGCAAGAGGCAGAAGGCATAGATGAGCTTATTCTTCTTGAAAGATTCCTGGAAACTCCCACAAAACACCTGACTTAAAAGTGTTGGCAAGAAGTTGGTCATGAGCCCACACCCAACTTCAGGGCAGGCTGGGACACAGGCATTTTTCTAGATGAGCTGCATGCCCAGACACAATCCAGGTCTTCTGTGTGGAAGCAGAGAAAGCCCAATAGCAGCAGCTACCGCATGCTGAGCTTTATGGAAGCTGTGAGAACTTGCCTTCTGCCATCCCATGGAGAACACAAATACCCAAGGCCCAGGCCTCCTTATACCCACTAAGTTGCGTGTAAGTTTCCTTGCAGACCTAAAACTTGAGGCAGCATATTATTAGCACTGGAGAAGCAAAGGGATTTAAAACAGACTGGAAAGATGCTGAAGCATTGTAAACCTCCTTGTGCCTCAGAAAAGTGTAGTATAGACAGCCAGTTTTTAATTGAAGATAATTTGTCTCTCCTTTAAGTCTTGGCTGTCATACTAGGGAGGGTTGACTACCTCTCACTGAGGCATGCATTGTTTGTTCTCATGAACATGTTCAGTGAACATGCTGTGCAAAGAGGGCCTGTTTGTATATTCTATTTCAGATTGCATACTCTAACATTAGGTAGTGCAAAGTATTTGGTGTATGGCTAATTTTGATCAGTTTTTTTTTTCTTTACAGTGGATGAAGGCCGCAGTAAGGAACCTGACCGACTACGAGTGTTTCACAAAAAATCTGTCATGCCTTATGGTGTTTATAAGAATCACCAGAAAGACTCAAGTGAGGAGGCCACCGTGCTACAGTACGCAAGCCTGGTGGGACAGAAGTGCTCCGAGAGGATGCTGCTGTTCAGAAACTGAACCCTGCACCATAGCCCTGCATCGGGCTCTGGGGCATTCCCTGCCCAGTGCGGCCTGTGCCTCCCGAACTGCAGCTGTCCACCAAGTACATGTTCCATTGTGACGGTCTGAGAGCTTTTCTAAACTATTTTATGGTGTTATATTTGTGAGAATTTCATGGTTAATATAAAGATTTTAAAAATATGTTATGACCTAGCCCCATAATTGGGACTTGCCATTTTGAAGTTTGAGTCTGGAGCAGGAGGTGTTAAATATTATCTTCAGTAAGTATTTTGGGAAGGACATTAAGAAGTGAGTCTAAGTGATTTCATCACAGTTACACTGTTTTTATTCTACTAGAGAAATTCTAACACAATGTTTGCTCAGACCCATGCAAAACGTGTGTGCTGGGAACCCTCAAGTGTGGGGATGAAAAAGGACAGCTTGTCTCCTTGCCAGGAAATGTGTCTCTTTACACAGTAGAACTTTTGTCACTTGATGGTCAATATTAAATTACTGCCAATGTTATGTGTAGTTTAATAGAGAACTTGAAACATAAGCACTGCAGAGGTCTTGTGTTCACACTGGGTGTCTGTCTGTCCAGGACAGTCCTGCCCACATCTGTTGTCCTTGGCCTAATGTTTTCCCTAGAATAATTGTTGCCAGTGATCCCTTATACCCCTAGAAGTGTCCCAGCTTAGATGATAAAGTATGCAATGACTTTAGAGGTATTTGTTCAATTTCTCAAAAATCTAAGAAACATATTGTAGAGAATAGTTAACTCTGCTTGATCTGAAGCTCATCCAGAGAACACAGGTACCAGCTTTTCATTCCTTGGGACTCGGGGCACTTGTCGTGGTTAGAGATGGAAGCTGGTTAGTACTTAACAGCTCCTACAGTTATGCCACAAGTCAATGGAACCGGTGGGGCCTCCTAACCTCTCATTCCTTCTCCGACCCTCTGTGTCAGAGAACAGGCACCCCCATTAGCACTTCAAGGCCGAGGCCGGCCACTCTCCTCTCTTGCTTTGTTAGGCCCTTTCCTCTAGTACCATATGCCTGCTGTCAAGGCAGCCGGCCGCCAGCTGGGCAAAGAGGCACAGTAAGCATGGCAGGCAAGCTTGTTACTGGAGACAGGAGGAGCAGAGAAGGGCCCCTCGCTTGTGCTCGTTCTCATTCGGCCTCCTCTGCTGCCAGCCGCTCACCACCCAGCCCTTTCAGCTCCAGCTGCTCACTTTCCTCCTTTCTGTTGGTTGGTAGTTTTAAAGACCCTATTATAAAAGTCCCAATGCTCATTTTAACTTTGCCCCAAAATGCACTACACTGTAATAAAATATTGGTAATCTTCAGCAAATGAGAATATAAAAACATAAAAGATTTAAAAATTCCAACATCCATGTAAACTCTGTACGTTGTGTGTGCACTTGTGTGTATGCGAACTGCAGTATGACACACTCTTTGCTAATCCAGAATAGGGGATGGAAGAGAGACATTTTCCCTGGTTGCCAAAATCCTGTGTTCTTCTGGAGTTTTGACCTAAAATGAGTCTCCTGAGAAAGTGTAAAAGAGTTAGTTTGGAACTGCCTTCAGAATCCTCCCTCTACAATGAAGATAGCTTTGCTTTAATTTTTTAAAATTTTAAAACAAAAATAATACTCATGATAAGCAACTAAAACACTGAGAAAAGAAAGTAACAGAAATCTGAACTCTTGCCCCACCTAGAGAAAGAGAGCAGCATAATGTAAGCCCCCAGCAACACATCACTTGATCCAAACCAAACCGTGTGCTCGTTACTGTTCAGTTATGTGTGGATATGTGGGTGTGAAAATCTTCAAAATGACTTGTAGAAGGTGTAGTAGGTAATCGCAGTACTATTAAGTAGAATGGGGTTGGCAGCCAGGCTGCACTGCATCCCATTTTCCCTTTGTGGATGGTATGTAGATGGTACTCAAAGGTGAAGAGAAAACCAGTCCAAAATCTTACCTCAACTCTTTGAGTTTTTCCTTCAGAGTTCAGAGGGAAATGATTGATCATCCCTGTCTACACTGGTAACCTGAGTCTAGCGTGGCTCCAGTGAAACATAAAGAGTGTCAGCTCAGGTGCTGTGTACATACACACACACACACACACACACACAGAGTCTTCAGTTGCTGTGTTCACACTCAAACACAATATATATATTTTTTAATAGTGTACGATTTTAGGGCTTTAGATGTCTTCAAAGATGCATACCTGCAACTGGAGAGATAGCTCAGTAAAGTGCTTACTTTGCAAGCATGAAGACCTGAGTTCAGTTCCTCAGAACCCACATAAAAATACACATGCATGGGGGCAGGGGAAGGTAAGTCCTTGGGGCTCATTGGCCAGCAGCCTAGTCTAGTGGGTAAGCTCCAACCCAGTGAGAGATCCTGTTTCAAAAAAGAGGTGTATTGCATTTCTCAGGATGACACTCATTGTACACGCACCCTGACACGTGTGACTCAACATTTAAAAAGTGCATACTTTTGAGCTCTTCTTGAGGTCTACAGTGGACTAAGATAGGACAATCAAGAGAAGTCCCCCATTCTGCACAGTCTAGCTGTGATGCCTGGACACATGGGAACCTTTCAGACAGCTTCCCTCTCCTGGTGGGAAGCTTTGCATTTGCAGCCTCTGGCCCCTTCTGATTTCGGGGGGATTCATACCTTCCTCCCTGCCTGACAGCACAGGTGTCATTTTGATCCCCCATGTACCATCTTAAATTGTTTCAGTTCTCTGAGATTTTATTCTTGTCACATGTAATCTGAGCACTTTTTGTATTCTAAGATACAGAAGCTATATTATCAGATGAATATATTATTCACTGGATTGAAATTATTTAGATAAAAAAGTATTGTTTATGTTTCAAGCATTCTATCCTGTTTCTATCCATTTGCAAATGCCAGTTTTGTGTGATTTCTTAGCAAAGCCCAATTATTTCCTAGAAGAACCTTCTCGGGTTTCTGAACAGCAAATAATTTGGTTTATAAATATTGTATTATTTCCGTGTGAATAAAAGTGGCAGAGAATATGAACACTTAACCGAAATGTATCTCTTGTGACTGGCTTAAATGAAAGAAATGAGGCGGGAACTGTTGGAATATGTTTGAATTACAAGTTATTCAAAAGTGTGTTCCTTTCCTAAGGGAAACCAGTGACCATAAGTCTGATTGCATGTGATATTTTTGCCTTCATATGTGCTTTTTAAACAATCCATTTGATAAGTCTGAATGGAAAAATAAAGCTGTTTCTATCTGCAGTGGCTCTTGTCAGTCATTACTTAAAAATACATAAATGCCTGTACTATACTGGGGAGATGGAGGCAGGGAGATCAAAGTTCAAGATCATCTTTGGCTATATGACAAGTTCGTGTTTTCTCTTTCTCTCTCTCTCTCTCTCTCTCTCTCTCTCTCTCTCTCCCTCTCTCTCTCGTGTCCTCTATCATGGGTCAATCATTAACTACCCCTTTAAGCTTAACTCAGGAACACTGGAACACAAAGTACATTAAGAAATAAGAAATTGAGAAAAAAAATTATTTTTGGTCTTTTTGAGGCAGGGTCTCCCTGTAGCCCCAGCTGGCGTGGAATTCACTATGTAGACCAGGCTGGCCTTGAACTCACAGAGATCCATCTGCCTCTGCCTCCCAAGTGCTGGGATTAAAGTGTGCACCACCATGCCTGGCAGGAAATAGATTATTATTTTTAATCCTGAGGGATTTTCTAAAGGTTACAGTGATATTTTCAAAAATGTCAGGCACAAGTGAATGAATCCACAGTATACCAGTGGATTACATTTACTAATGTTTCTACATTTCATACAATACAGAGAAACCCAGCAAATTGGTGATAAAATGAACCCTATTTTCTTTTTTTAAAATTTTATTATTTTTATGTGTATGCATGTATTGCCTACATGTAGGTAAGTGCACCCGTGTCATGCAATGCCCATGGAGGACAGAAGAGGCCATCGGATCTCCTGGAACTGGAGTTATGGACAGTTGTTAGCTGCCATGTGAGTGCTGGGATTCGAACCCAGGTCTTCTGCAAGAACAGCCAGTGTTCTTAACCGTGGAACCATCTCTCCAGCCCTGATATAGTATCATTTTCCTTTTTACGGAAAAATCGGTTTTGTTTTTAGAATGTAAAATGACCAGCATCCCATATATATTATTCAAACAAGATTAAAAAATTACAAATACGAATTTATTTTTGTAGTGTTGGGGATCCAATCCAGGACCTTGTGCATGCTAGGAAGCATTCTACCACTGAGTTCCACAAAGAGGACAGCCGCCTCTGGCCCTAATATTGTGAGATTCTCAACGTGTAGTTAGTAAGCATTCTGGCTCCTTCTCACTGTATCAGATAGCCTAAGTGGGGAAAAGGTTTTAAAAAACATGTATTCTTTGACAATTTCATGCATGTATAGAATGTGTTGTGGTCACATCAGGCCCCTCCATTGCCCTCTCATTCTCATACCAGGTCTGTTTTTTATCCTTTTTGAGCAACACTTTGAGCTATAGACTGTGCCTCTGGAATTGATATACAAAATTGAAATCCTTATTGTCGCTGTGAAGTTGGGACCCATGGCAGGTGATTAGATCAGAAAGGCATTCCCATTACAAGTTCAATTAGTCTCTTATAAAAGAGACCGTAGGGAGTTTCCTTATCCCTTCATCACGGAAGGATACAGCAAGAAACCAGTATCTGTGACCAGAAAGTGTGTCCTTAGCAGACACCAAGTCTCCTAACACCTTGATCTTGAACTTCCCAAGCCTCCAGAACTCAGGAATAAATATCTGTGGTCTTAAGCCACCAATCTATGTATTGTCTATGACACCTGAAAGAACCAGCATTATTCTCAACCCACATCTCCAGGTCCCTTTGCCCCTCACTGAGTGGTAGACTTTTCTCCTTACCTGAAGCTTCAGGAAATGTACAGTTCCTAGAGCCTAGTGCCTCTCACTGTCTTTCTCCTAGATGTTTCCTGGGAGGTGTGTACCATTTTTAAGTTCTCATACCTCTTAAATTCCAGTGAACTGCCCTAACCTTAGAGTTTAAGTTTGTTTAAAAACAATTAAGGCTCTGAATTACTGATCCCTTCAAAGGTCTTTAAATGGAGCTGACAAGAATGAGTAACAGCTCTTCACTGCTCTAACTGAGCTGAGCTCCTTGACTTTTTAATATTTATTATTTTTATTTTATGTGTTTGAGTGTATTGCCTGCATGTGTGTAAGTGCACCCGTGTCGTGCAATTCACTGGGGAGGTTAGAAGAGGGCATCAGATACCGTGGAACTGGAGTTATCCATGGTTCTTAGCTGCCATGTGGGTGCTGGGAATAGAACCTGGGTCCTTTGCAGCCAGGGCTCTTAACCACTGAGCCATCTCTCCACCCCCATCTCTCCACTCCCCCCAATACTGTTTTTAACAACAGCATATGCTGTGCATGTGCTGAGTGTGCCACGCGCACTGTGGTCAGAGGACGGCTTTGAAGGGGTGGTTCTCGCCTACCTTGTTTGTCAGGCAGTCTCCAGGCTAGCCAGCCTCAAGCTTCTGGGTGCTTCTACAGTCTCCACCTCTCATCTCAAGGCGGGAGTGTTGGGATTACACGTGTGCCACGGCATCTGGCTCTTTTATGTGGGTTCCGAGGATCGAACTCAGGTCATCAGGCTTGCACAGCAAGTGCTTTTACCCACTGAGCCATCTTGCAACTTCCAAGCTCTTCGTTTTTAGAGCGTTACATCTCTTCGTTTGCAGTATGAGGAAGTAAGCCAAGTAAAAAGCACTGTTTCAAACAGTCTAGCTAATCTTTCTGTGGCAAGGCCCGTTTGATGACACCGGGGCCTGAGCTTTGCTGCCGCCTTAGAGACAGGGGCCTCCTTCACTTGTCTGCATGCAAAATGCAGACTGTTTGTGACTAGCACAAATGTTTTTTTGTTTAAGAATCAAAGGGTCATTAAAGTTTGATTAAATACAGAATGAAAAAATTGCTTTTTAGATTTTATTTTACTGTAACAGGCTAGCGGCATTCACTGTAAGAAAAGCACAAATGGACTTGCATAATGGGACTGTGTGATCTTGGATTGAATTTTCCTCTGAACTTTAATTTTTTATGCTTGTCACTCTGAGCCAGGGTCTTAAAATCATTTAACGTAGGCCTTTTTTTTTTTTTTAAATTAGCATTAAATGAGAACTCATGAATACTTCATGAAGTCCAATTCATCACACTTTTAATTCACTATTCAGTGAGTCTGAATAGCATCTCTCAGCTAATGGGGCTTTTTGATCATGAAACAAGAAAAACAACATTTTGGGTTTGTTGATTCAGAGTTTAAGCTCTTAGCTCATTTATACAGAGACAGTTCTATGTGCTTGTCCACCGTCTTTTAAAACATGGAGAGATGCCAGACTGATTTGCAAGTTAACTGTTGCTGAGGAGTTATTAGTGTGGGGGCGGGTACATGTGTGTACATGGGTGCAGAGTCCAGAGGAGGTATCAGGTGTCTTGCTTTATTACTCTTCATTGTACTTCCTTTTTTTTATTTTTGGTCTTTTTGAGACAGGGTCTCCCTGTAGCCCCAGCTGTCCTGGAACTCACTATGTAGACCAGGATGGCCTCAAACTCACAGAGATCTGCCTGCCTCTGCCTCCCAAGTGCTGGGATTAAAGGCGTGAGCTACCACGCTGTCTTTTGAGACAGGGTCTCTCACTGAACCTGGAGGTAGGCTAGCAGCCTCCCCCCCCCGCCCCCGCCAGTGGCAACACCAAAGTTAGAGGACCATATAGCCATGCCTGACTTTTTACATGGGGATTTAAACTTGGGACTTATCTTGCAAGGTAAGCACTCTTCACTGAGCTGTCTTCCCAGCCCTCTTGTTACTACATTTGCTGTTCAGACACTAGGGTTAGTTTAAGGACGTTCTTCACCTGAAGGTGGTTACGGCCCCCTAGAAAAGTGCTGTGGTGTTGGTGGGAAGGTCACAGGGTAGTGGCTGAGCAGTGTAAGGGGTACTATCCCCAGAAAGGATGAGCGACCTTTGCTGGTCCCATTGGCTTTCTGAGTTCTTGAGAGCTACATTGTAACTTCTTTCACACAATTCCATTTACTGTCTTACTAAGAAGGCCAGCAAAATACTCAGAGTGTGACCGACACTTCAATTGAGGCTTCTGCTTCTACAGCAGCTGATGCTTATGCTTGAATTAATGCTTCCTATAATGTCCTTTAGAGAAAGTTTAGAAGTAAAGGAACCCAGTTTAGAGGGAGAGTCTAGAGAGCAACTGAGTTGGTGTAATAGTAGGTGTGTTTTTCTGTTTCTCTTGTCCAGGCAGTGTGTCTTAAGGTACGGATTATTTTGGCATGATCACATGATCAGTATGTGATGAGTTGTGGACCGCATATATCTGTAGATTGCTTATCTAGCCACTTCATCATCTGGATCATTGATAGAGTCTCAAAAAGAGGGGCTAGGGAGATGGTTCAGTCAGTAAAATGCACACAAGCATAAAGACCTGAGCTTGAGCCCCCAGAACCCATGTAAGAAGCATAAAGCCAGGCACACACCTGGAAAACCAGTGCTGGGGTGGGGGAGAGGGTTGGGGCAGGGGTGGGGGCGGGTGGGCAGAGGCAGGGAGATCCCTCGGGCTTGTTGGCTAGCCATTCTAGACAATGGGTGAGTTCAGTGAGAGACCCTGTCTCAAAACACAAAGTGGATGGTGACTGAGGAAAACACCTGAGGTTGACCTCTGACCTCTACATACATGGACACATACATGTGTGCAAACACACAAATAAATGCAATGAAGTTTTAAATTTTTAGAAAAGATTAACATAGGAAAAAGCTATGTGGCTGAAAAAAGACTCCTTACCCGGGCTTCATCTAGTGAACAGAAGAGCCAGCTGCATACAGTTGTGGGAGAGGCTGGTGCTATATAAATGTCCTAGGAAGAGGCCTGTTCCTAGGAGCCCAAGTGCGTTGGGCTTTTCCCTCAGCCTATTAGTCCACCCCTATTCTTGGGAGCACCTTCTCTTTCTGAATAAAAGGCTCCTTTCGCTGACCCTTTGGACATTCTTAGTCTCTCTGAAGCCATGCATTACCTCTGCCGAACTCACCTGTTTTCCTGGAGACTAACTCAGAAGACACAGCTCCCTGTGCCTCTCCTGTCTCCCTCCTCTTCCTCTCCTCCATCTCCATCTTTCCACCAGTTGCCAGCATTTACAGCTTGCCTGCCGTCTTGTTTTCTCTTAAAAACTCTAATAAAATGGTCTCTGAGTTTCCTTCTGAGTCTGTTTTTAAATACTTTTGTTAATGAGACTAAGAATCCATGTGAGGGAACCCTGAATTCCCTGGTAATGTGGACATGTTCTACTCAAGACTGCATCCTCGAACTAACTTTAGTAAATGTAAAGAAGGAAAAATACACATAAGGGGGCCTGGACTAGAAAGGCCAACGAGAATACGTTCAAGTCTCACATCACTGACCAGTGACCTTGGACAGTGGGAAGGTGGGCAAACCTCAGTTCTCGTGCCTGAGGTGTTGGGCAGCTGGTGGGAGCGGATGAGATCGCCTGGTGCCGGAGGCTCAGCATGGAACCTTGCTGCCCTCTGTACGTGGCCCGTCACACCTTGCCCAAAGCAGCCACCAACCAAAATGAAGGCTGCATTGGCCACTTTCCTCATTGCTGTGACGAGATACCCGACAAAGCAACTTAAGGAAGGGGTTCTGTGCTATAAAGCCTCAATGTGTGCCCCAGCAACCTACTTCCTTCAGCAAGAGGATCCCACTCCTAAAAGTTCCACAACTTTCCCAAAACAGCACCACCAGCTGGGGACTAAGTGTTCAAACACATGAACTTCTTATGGGAGACATTTCACATTTACACCACAACAAAGGGTTGTATTTCTGTTTGTTTTCTTTTAATTTTATTCCATAAATGTAGTGCATAATATGTTTTAATTTTTTATATTCATCCATTGAGGGGAGGGGATTCATGTGCTGTGGAGCATCTGTAGAGATCAGAAGACAAGTTGGGAGGCTGGATTCTCTCCACAGTGTGGGACCCAGGGATTGAATGCAGATCATCCGGCTTGGCAGCAAACACCTGTACCTGCTGAGCCAGCTTGCCAGCCCGTTTTGGTTTTTGTTGCTTTTCTTTTTTCTCTTTTCTCTCCCTTCCTTCCTTCCTTCCTTCCTTCCTTCCTTCCTTCCTTCCTTCCTTCCTTCCTTCCTTCCTTCCCTCCCTCCCTCCCTCCCTCCCTTCCTCCTTCCTTTCTTTCTTTTCAGGTAGGGTACCTTGTAGCTCAGGGTTGCCTTGAACTTGATATGTATCCAAGAAGGATGGCTTTGAACTTTTTTTGTTTTTGTTTTTGTTTTTTTTGAGACAGGTTCTCCCTGTAGCCCCAGCTGGCCTGGACCTCAGTAATAGAGACCAGGCTAGCTTCAGTCTCTATGAGACCTGCCTCTGCCTCCCGAGTGCCAGGATTAAAGGCGTGCACCACCGTGCCTGACAGCCTTTGATCCTTGTGCCACCCCAGTGCTTGGGCTACAAGTGTGTACCACCACATCCAGTTTGTGCTGTTCCGGTGATCAAACCCAGGGCTTTGAACATGCAAAGCAGGCACTCTACCAACTGAGCTACATTCCCCTAGTCCATAAGTCAAGTTTTAACAAAGTGTTTCATAAAAAAATAAAAGAATAAAGTCTGCCATACCAAGGCTTGGGAATCCATCCATCTCAGACAGCTTCTGAGTACAGGGTCCTTTCAAGCAAGTTAGATATTAAAGTTCCTGAACTGTCCGGAAATGGTTAAAATGTATTCAGTATATGCTAAGAAGCATACAGTGCAATTTGAATATTGCCATCCAGAATTGTTAAAGCAATAAGCAGGCTCTATCACTGGATGATTGCATTTGTCTGCAAGTTCACAATATTGACACAAGTCTTGGAGACCGTGGAATTAGAATCCATTTCAAATGACCCTTTCCAAAGGACAGTATAGTGTTAAAAGGATAAGGACTTCCTAATGGCTGCCTTTCCCTAATAGAATGTGCATAAACAATTATTCATAGGAGCCCAGGCAGAGCCTCCCTCCTGTGACACCCATACTGGATCCTCTTGGCAAAACCGAGGAATAAAATGAGCTTGAGACTGCACACAATTATGTGCACTTTTGTTTGGTTTTGTAGGAGAGAAAACTAAACAGGCTATCCGGAAAATCAGCTCCATTTCACCGGCTGTGGGATTGCCTCGCTCAGCAGGTGGCCTCATTTGAACTGGTAATGACTAGACTATTTCCATCTTGCCCCCCACCTTGCTTTCTTCTTCCCCCCTTGCATGATTCTTCTGCATGGAGGCATATTCTAGAGAGGTGTTGCATCCTAAACTTAGCGTTCACAGTGCCACCCAGGTTAGCTGAGCACAATAGTAAATAGGTCAGGAAATCCAATGCAAACGTTTTGGAATTGAGGGAAAGTGGTGTTTTGTAGCACGGCAGCTGCCTGTGCAGGGTGGCACTTAAAGAAATGGGTTTGTAACTGGTACCCAAAAAAGTGTACTTCTGTATTTAACAGCAGTTTTCTGTATCCTCATTTCAAGCGAAGTCAGCTACGTGCGGAGCTGGGCGTCCAGCCTGGGTTGGGATGAGGGGGTGGACATCTGGGCCAGCGGGGCTGTTCAATGGGCCTTGACACCAACGCTCTGTTCCCAAGCCACGTGCCAGCCAACACCCAGGGGCCCTGTGGGAGCTGAGCTGGGCCCTCAGCCGCAGCCACTGTCCAGCTGAGAGGAGCAGAGTCACCAGCCCGGCCTAGTAGAG